AAAACATTTAGTGAGGCACAAAAGACATTTAATTTCACCTCCCAGCCAGTAGATGACACCAAAGTCTTACTTCTGATCAATGGAGAGAAATCTTCTGAGATTACAAAAGATGAGTTTGAAAATCTTCGTAAAAACTTTCCCTATTTCAAATATCTTAGTGATGAAAAAGGAAACAAAGCACTTTTTGATCCAAAAAATCATATAATCTATACGAAAAATGGTCGAGAAAACGTCACTGATGATAGCTATAGCTTGTTTTATAATGGAAATGAGGAGAAACTCTTATTATACGTTCCTAACTTGAAAGAATCGGAGCGTATGATGTTTATTGTGGATGCAACAAACGAGGAAAGTTATATGGCTAACATAAAGTTTGCAGCTTTTCAGCCCAAATATAAGATCAAGTTCGGAGTAAAGTAAGTCTTTGCACGTTTTTATATACAACAGATCTGGCATTAAAAAGGAAAATGATAAAAAGTTGCTGCTTTTCATTTCGAAAAGCGATCAGGCAAGTCCACCCGTGGTTACTATCATGCAAGAGGATGACTTTGAAAAGAAGGATGAAGTTAAAGGTAGATTTTTATTTTCATCAATTTTAATAGTGCCCATCAAAATTACTGACATTAACATCGATGATGGAAAGGTGAAATATGAAATGATCGCAAATAAACCAAGCGAAGCTCAAACCCCAGCAGCTCAAAATACTGAGGCTCAGACCCCGGCAGCTGAATCGCCTAAATATTTATATTTAGATAAGATCTCTATGAAAAGTAAGAATTTTGATTTCATTAACCCCATAGTCTTTATTATGCTTCAACAACTTGGCATTTTCGGGTGAACAAGTACATTTATTAGCGAAAATAAATTGATTTTACATCCTTAATTGGCATCGTTTGTTTGGTGTCAAATATACACGCAAAATATCTCATGTTCAAATGGAGCACAGAAGACACTTTTCAAAGGATTACAATAAGGCCCATTCCTCGTATTTGGGCTCCCCTGCAACAAGGCAGGGAGGATGCGCTTAGCAAAGCGCACTATTGCAAAAAGTCCCGTTCATGTGATAGCCCATTATTTAAGCTATAAAATGAACTATGGCTATCAAAAGTCAGTTAATGATACCATTTAATCACTAAAATCCCAATTGGCCAATGGTGTATCATGACCGCGCATTTTACTTGGCTCAATGTGAATGAATGCTTTGGTGCAAAACTTATTCAGCGGCCGATCTGCCGGAAGGATTCCGTTTATTTGTTAACAATGCTTCAAAACTTCGAATTGAGCTCCAAATGAGCCATTGAACTATAGGTATCCACCTTGAAAGATAATTTGGCATTTCGAGCCAATTCTCATTCCAGAAACCGGGCGGGATAATTGTATGGCCTCTTATGTCCTGTTTAAAGAAACTTTGTGGCTTCTCATTCCCAGCATTTTGTTTCTTTCAATGCTTTTTAGACTCTTTTTTTGTATAAGGACTCATTTCAAGCTCTTGAACCTCCGCAGCCAACTTTTTGAATTCATCTGTAGTGCAACAAGGTAGACTTTCGAGACATTTCAGCACTTTTTTAATAGCGGGTCTTTTATTAGGAGATGGATCAAGAGCCTCGTTAATGATTTTCGCCAAATTGGAATCCAAGCCTTCTATTAACGTTAAGATATCCTCATATTTTCAAGGTCTTTTTTTCTCTTTTTTGTCTCTCTTCTTGAGAAGCAAAATAATTACTGTCGTAGCTAGCTTCATTTCTAGTTTTAAATAGGCCAACAACAGTAGCTGCAAAGGAGAAGACATCAGATTCTTTAGTGGGAAAAGCTTTAACATTAAAATTGAGCTCTTTTCTTTTTAGCGCAATCCATCCTGGTGTATCCTTTTTTTGGTTGATAAGTATGTTCTTCATGAAATTTACCACCACAGATTGTGATTTGATAAGCTCTTGCGCCACATATTTTGATGTAAAATCAGGCGCATACTCTGTAGTTGAATACGTAATTTCGCATAAACAACCCAATTCTCTTCCTTCAGGATATGCTGAACCAAGTCTTTTGATCTTCACAGCAGCATCAAAATCTGTCATTTTAACATCCCCTTCCTTTGAGATCAATATATCATCTGGTTTCAAATCCCCATGCAAAATATCATCTTTATGCATGAAATCAATAGCTTCAGCAACTTCTTTCAAAATATAAGCTAATATCTTCAAATTTCGTCTCCAAAATCGAGGAATGCCTGATAAATCGCGCCCTTTTACATATTCCATAAAGATCTCATTCTGATTCATCTAGTAAGCAGGAACAATGCTCTTATGATCAAGTTTATTTTAAATTAAAACCGCCCTTTTAATAAAATCTTTGCTGAAATTTCTCCCACTATTTTTGCTCAAAAAATCTTTCTTTATCAGATGCATTAGGTCTTTTTTCTCAGTTTGCGCTATTGTTTTCCATTGAACATTAGAAAAAAATTCTCTGAAACTTTAGCCACAGAAATATTATATACATGTAGAATTAGCATGAAAACTACAAGCAGACAAAATCATTCGGAAATTAAAGGAAATAAATTCCGCATTTGACCCTGAATTGCAAGGGGTTTTATTAAATTATAATAAATTGAACACCGGTGTGTGAATTACAACTAGTGCATTAACTAAACGGCCAAAACCCTCAACGATCTCTTTCAATGTATATGCCATTATGCTTATTTTTTGAATTGTATAAAGACTGAGAAGCCTTGATGTCATAGTATGCGTTTAAAGGTACCGTTTTTGCATATACTAACGGTAAATAGTATTGGTAACTCAGGGCCCATCCCGGTGGTTCTAATGCTGTACCCAGATGGTTTTTAAGATGCGGTATCTCGATTTTTGCTGATCGATACATTCAACGTTGATGTACATTTGGACGCGAAAGGGGAATCAATGCGCATTTGCTCTTTTTCTGGAATTGGCCTATGGACTTATGCCTATTTTGAAGAGGAGTGATAGAAATATAAACCTCCGGCCAATCTGCTAATGACGAGACCAACTAGCAAAAGGGACCCGATTTAAACCCTGCCGTAGGGTTATTTTAAATAAAAATTTAATGCAAAGCCCGGTTTCCTTGTTGCTCGATTCCGCAAGAGGCTTCCCTCTTCACTTGACCATCGACAATATTTATAAGCTTTTGGCCTCCATAACATGCAAGGAAGTGCAAAGATTTGGCATCAACATAAATCTGGATCAATTGTAATTTGATCTGCTATTTTTCCCTAGACTTGACCTTCCGATCGTATGCAAGCCAAATTTGGCATCTAAAGACCCACAGATGGATCCTTTCGGCGTCTCAGACGCGTTTTCACTTCCTTGCAT